AAAACTCAGTCCTTTTAGTCAGGGCATGAAGCACACGGATGAATTGTCCTAAAGTCCTACCACCACTCTAACTGGCAGAGATGCTGTGAGTGTGGGTGTGTGTATGTGAAATATTTCTCAGTGAGGAGTGTGTTTGTTTTCTGAAGGCCTTCTCTGCTTTTCCCTGAGTGGGCAAGCACCCATTCAGTGAGAAGCAACTTTCCTTCCAGGAGATGTGCTTATTTCCAAAGGGCCTGGTCAGGACAGCCCCACAGGAACTGCAGGAGACAGCATGTGCTCAGCTAGTGGTACCTGTCCTCCTCCTCTCTCTTCTTCTTCTTCACTTTGATAGGTTTCACAACAAGCTCCTGGTCAAAGTCTTCTGAGCTGATAACACTGAATCTCTGTGAGGAGGGCTGGCTGCCCTTGCCCAGCTCAGAGGCTGCCTGGAGCCCAGGCGGCAGCAGCCCAGAGCTGCTGTCTGTGGAGTTGAGTGAACTGCTCCTGCTCCGCGGTTCACTGGCCACTGAGCTTGCCACAGAGGATCCTCGAATCTTGTCTCAGAAACTGCAGTCCCCAGTGGCTTCTCCAGACACTGCACATGGACTTGCTCTGAACATCCTGATGTCTCCAGACCATCTCTCACTGAGAAAGAAGAGTTTGGTTTTACTACTGGTCATTCCAGAGAAAGTCGATGCACACTTACTCAGTTTGCTGGTCCTAAATACTAGCCCTCATAGAGAAACAGAGGCTCCAGCCTGCTGAAACCTGAGAAATTCTAAATTCACAGAAACCAGCAAAACTCAAAGAATCCCACTGAAGGTCCCAAACAGTTTTTGTTCTCCAGGAAGCATATATATCAAAGCCAGAAAAATAACTCTCCATAGTTGTCTCTTATAAATACCACTAGTCAGAGAATTCCACTAAGCATACAGGGCTTCTCAATTCAATTTATTCAATTTACAAGTTCCTTTTCTTTTTGGTACTATTGGGGTTTGAACTCAGGACCTAATACTTGCTAGTCAGGTACTCTACCACTTGAGCCACTTTGTCAGCTCTTTTTTGTCTTGGGTGTTTTTGAGATAGGGTCTTCAAATTATTTGTTCAAGCTGGCTTTGAACAGCGATCCTCTTGATCTCTGCCTCTTAACTAGCTAGGATTACAGATGTGAGCTATTGGCTCCTGGGTGCAAATTCTTTATAAAGGAGAAAAGTGTGTATAAAAATGGTTTAATAATACCTCATAATATTACTCAAAGGGCATTTGAAAAATACATGTGTACCTCTAATCAAATTTCTGGAAATTCAAGGAGGAAAAGGTAGAATGAACTCAAGAGAGAGAAGCACATTAAGGAAGGTGGTGTCAATGTAAGCAGAGAGCATAGTGAGGGTCCAACAATAGAACACAAGTCCCTGCACTCAGTCTGTGCCTAAGAGCCAGTGAGCATCCCACTGCAGTGGGCTTTCCCTTCTCTCAACACAACACCAAGATAACCAGGGCCGCATGGCTCAACACAAGACCGCAGTCCACTTTTGATTAGTTCAGCCATCTTTTTGTATCCGCTGGCTGCCAAACACTGTTACAAGTGCCAGAATACAGCAGTCAACAAGACACTAGGACTCCTGCCCTTGTGGAATATTCTACTAAGGGTCATTCATTAAGGGAAGACTGTGGGTTTTGGAGTGTCCACTGGGGACAAGAGGGACAGGATTCTATCCAAGTGACTTGTCACAGCTTATACAAATTAAAGGCATTCTTGGTCTATGCTGTCCAATATGGCAGCCAGTAGCAACATAGAGCTAATTAAACTCAAATTAATTAAAATTAAAACAAATTTAAATTTCAGTTTCTCAACTGCACTCTCCACATTTTAAGTGCTCCTCAGCCACAGATGGATGGTGACCACCTGCTGGACAGCAGTGGCCTAGAGCTTTGCCTCATGGCTCAAAGTCATTACTCTTTCTGTCAGCCACACTGCCCCTTACTTACAATGTTTTAGGGGTCCCCAGCTCATAAACTCAAGAATCAGGCTTACTCACATCTCATAAAAGTTCTCCCTTTGGAATATTCATCCCAACTTGTCCTCTATGACTTATAGGTAAGTGGTAGTGATAAGGAGGGACCTGCACAGCTGTTGTTACCAACAGGAACAAGTTCACCATTGAGCCTCAGGTATATCAAGTTCCATGGATGTGTGCAGGAGAGTACAAATGTTAAAATTCTTTGGTTATTAAAATTTGGGCTTGGTGCTGGGGATTTATCTCAGGGCAGAGCACTTGCCTAACATGTACAAGGCCTTGGGATTGAAACCCAGCACTGGAAACAAAACAAAACAGAACAAAAAAGATAGAAGAGCTACACATGTTAGCACACACCTACAATGCTAGCACTCAAAAGGCGGAGGCAGAAGAATGGTGAGTTCAAGGACAGCCTGGGCCAGCTCCACTGGCTCATGCCTGAAATTCTAGCTACTCAGGAGGCAGAGATCAGGAAGATTGAGGTTCAAAGTCAGCCTGGGCCAACAGTCTGTGAGACCCTATCTTAAAAAAAAACCCATCACACAAAAAAAAGGGCTGGTGGAGTGGCTCAAGGTATAGGCCCTGAGTTCAAGCCCCAGTACTAAAAAAAAAAAAAAAGGCCAGCGAGACTCTGTCTCAAAAAAACCAAAAACCAAAATCAAAACCCAAACACTTAAAAATTGGACTTGTATGGATTACAAAACAAAAAACAAAAGTACAGAGAAAAATCAGTCTCACAAGATGATCTGTGTATAAGGGCAAATGATATATCCCAAATGATAGGTTTAAATGCAAATCTGTCTTTGGGGCGATAACCCACATACTGTCTTAGACAGGGTATCAGGAACAGTCAACTGCTTTCTGATTTCTCCTTCCTACTTCACACCCAGGAAAGCAACTCCAGCAATTGTAAGACTGTCTGACATAAGCCTTACAATAGGGACCTTTTAAGAAAAGTATTATAAACTTATTACCAGAATCATAAGAAGCCTCCAAATACCTCCGTATTTAAATAAAGCTCTAATAATTAACTACCAAAATAATGGTAAGTTTACTAATTATAAGCTGCAATTCCATGTCACTAAGTACAGTACTCCCCATTGTACATACAACACACTTTATGATGAATACAAACCTATTGGTGCTTGTCCTTCAGGCCTGCTTGAAATTCTTATAATGTTCCTATCTCCTTTTAAGAAAAATATTTCATTTTCTGTGCAGGAAACAGACACAATATCACCTGATCCTTCCAAACCAGCAATTGTAGCCTGTAAAAACATAAATAAATAAATAATAATGAAACCAGGCAATAGTAGCAGTTCAAAGCTTTAAAAAGCATGTGTAAGAATCCACATAATTCAAGTGACAGTTGTACTTTGTTACAACAACTTCCTGGAAATTCTTAATAATGATTCAATTCAAAGTTAGGTAATATCTAACAGATATGACCTAGAGTGGAGGACTTGTCAGGAAGGTGGCATGACTCACTGATGGAGCAGAGCTTCTCCCACCTCTCAGACACTCTCTGCCCACACCTGCTAGCTCCCCACTCTTATGTCATGGAGCTCAAACTCTTGGCAGGGTAGGAGCCTTGGTCATCCATGGCCTGCCTATCACTCATGCCTCAGCCATGTCTCATGTACAAGGGATGTGCCAGTCTAAACCCCAGTCCTCCTCCTCGGTGGCCCATTAGTCATCATGTGCTTTCTCTCTGCTTGGATTCCTTTCCTATCCCTGTTCACTGGGGAAGCTCCAATTTTATCCAGAGGCCACTTACTCGAGAAGCCGTCCCTGACAAACTGTCTTTTTTGGCAATGTCCAGGACTTCCAGTAACTCACAGCATTTTTCACAGACCTCTGTGAAGTACATCTCCCATGGGCTGGAATGACATGCTGACAGGCTAGTGCCCCAGTGGGAAAGACTAGTGTGCCTGCATTTCATGGCTTCTGAATGAATACAAGCGGGGAGGGAGGAGGCTCCTAGCTGAAACAGCAGGATGTCCTGGCAACACACAGGACATCCTGAGTCCACACTGACCTAGAGACAGTTCTTGTTTTTCAGCCAATAGTGTGAACAAGAGACTAGTCCACTGTAAAAGATAAGAAAGCCTAAGTTCTCTGATACTTTTCAGGTAACCCTGACAAACAGCTAGCACAGGAGATTATTTTCTAAAAGCTGCCAGTCATTGTATCACGATGTGCAACTCTGATGCAGCCAGCAGCGTCTATTCACAGACATCCTGCAACCATTTCCCTGCCTATGGAATGAAGTGACATATACCTACTTGGTGAAGCACTGGGGAAGTACTCAGATGGAAAGGACTAATACACAATTACCAAGTATCCTGAGGCCACGAATTAGTAAGTTCAAAAAGAATTCCGTTCTCTATAAATGGGGAAAGAGTCCAAAAATGTCTTTGGAAATCTCACTCACCAAAGAAACAAATGCAGGGCCAGAAGGCATCCCCATAATTCCATCCTATTTTACAGTAAGGAAATCAAGTCCAGGAAGATGAGAGACTTCTCAGTCAGTTTTATTTCTACCAAACCAGTATTGGTGGCTTCAATGGGGAGCAGATGTATTTCATTTTCTGCTGACACACATCAGATAAGAAAATCCTTTTCCCTACTTATTCCTTCCCTCCTTTCCTTCCTTTTCTTTTTTTCTATCTCTTGTCCTTCCCTTTCCCTCTCCCTCTCTCTCCCCTTTCTTTTTTGGTGGGATTGGATTTGCGCTCATGGCTTTGCACTTCAAAGCATATGCTCTACTACTTGAGTCATACCTCCAGTCCATTCTGCTCTGAACTATTTGCCTAGGCTAGCCTCAAACCAATCCTCTGGATGTCAGCCTCCCAAGTCGCTAGGATTACAGGCATGAGTCACTGGCACCTGGTGAAAACCCTTTACTTTTTCTAGCAAGGCTTTGCTAGGAGGAGAACGTGAGCAAGATGGCCAGTCTGGACTCTGGGAGTAAAGAATTCAGTTAGTGAAGCAGGCAAAAAGAAAACAAACAAAACAGCTTTGTTTAAAGTCCAAATCTGTCTCTAATTTAAGAAAATTGTCTTCTGTCATCATTTAATAATGATTCTGGAAAGCTGGCCAAGATACATCATTAAGTTAAAAAAATGGAAAAAAAGAAAAATAATTCAGTAAGAAGGACAAGATAGAGAGCATGCTGGAGGAAGAAACCCCGCTTGGGTCAGCATCATCCCGTGAGGGCCAAAGCATGGTTATACCATGAGTTACTGTTTCTATCACATCTGAGTTTTCACTGAATGTGCTCCTGGTAATTTGGTAGTCAGAAAATACATGAGCCAGGAGATGGGGATGGAGCTCAGTGATACAGTATGTGCCATGTACTAGGTGCCCTGGGTTCAAGCCCCAGCACCAACCAAAAAAAAAGAAAAAAGAAAAGAAAAACTTGATCCCAATAGAACAAGCTTCATTTTGTACTCAAATACAAAAAACACACCTAATTTCTTGTCAGGGGATAGGACTGTGAATGTCAAAAGCAAATTTTTTTTTCTTAATCTACAAAAGTTTCCAGATCACTTGATTTCCTTGACTGGCCTTGTCCAAAGGAAAGGGAAAGCATTAGAATCCATCCCAAGAGCTCAGAGGCAGACCGTCCTGTGTGTGAGCATCCCCTGTCCTAACACCACAGATGGGTGTAAACCCTTCACGCACCTGGTTGATGGTGTCCAGAAGATAGATACTGTACTCATTCCAACTCAACACCCAGCCTTCTCGAAAGAAGCATGAAACAAGCCCTAGGTGTCTCTCAGGTGAGCTGCAACTTCCTCCGTTGGGAGGTTCTAGACGTGGGTAGAGCTCGAAAGGTGTGACTCCTCCAGCAAAGACGTCCTTTAGGATAAATGTGGCTTGAACAGTGCCGTGAACATTGGCCTTCCACAGCCGGAGCCCAGGCCGGGAGGCATACAGGGTTAGATCACTTTGCTTACACAGTCCTGGTATAAAACAAGCACCAAATTTCCCAGTACTAAAGAGAAAAAAATGAAAGAAAAATAAGCATGGACTGATTTAAAGTGTTGTAGTTGTCGCCCTTGGTATTAACTACAGCAAGAATTTACTGGCTAAGTAAGGTCCCAAGTTCAAACCCCAGTACTGCCAACCCCAAATAATTGTCTTCCCCCTTTGTTCTGTTTGTTTTTGGTCATTAAGTCACACTGCCATCCTTATTCCACAGATCTCACCACACACTTTCCCAAGTATGCACTCAGTGCACACACCCTGGTTTCTTGGGGACCATCACTGGGACCACCAAAGCTTGCTGTGCACAGCACTTTACCTCCATTCTTCCCTTTAATCCTCACAAGACCCCTGTGAGGCAAATATGACAACTCCTGTTTTAGAGAAGAGGGAACCGAGGCAGAAGGTGACAAGCTTCCCATCTACAGTAACAGCTGCCCATTGGTGCTGCTGCCCTTTCAGAATTTCAAACATATTTCAGAGTACTAGCTTCCTTCCAGTCCCCAGGCTTGACTTTTTTCTCTTTTAAAATTATGAATATATTAATAAAAGTTATGAAACCTAATGGAGTATCTACCCAAAGACCCTTCTTCCAACTTAGGAAACAAGTTATTAGCTGCACTACAAACACACTTTGTGCTCTTAACATTTCCTGTCTCTCTTGCCCTGGCTATGACCACTGGGCTGAATTTTATGTGTCACATTCCCTTATTTTATTGACAGTTTCATCAGTCAACTGATAGTTTAGGTATCCCTAAATCCTAAATACTTTGGTATTGTCTTTCATTTTTATAAAAAATAATAGTATGAGGCATTTTGTTCACTTTTGCAACTTGCTCTTTTATCACTTAATATGTTTCCAAGATTTATCCTTGAAAAACAAGACATAGCACTCATTCATTTTGAAAGCTGTAAAGTATTCCACAACTTACTCATTCTAAGTGGGTATTTGAATCATTATTATTATTTATTTATTTATTTATTGGTGCAGTGCTGGGTATCATACCTAGGGGTTCATACATGCTAGGCAAGTGCTCTACTGAACTACATGCCAACCCACCTTTAAAAAAAATACTATTTTGAATAATAGTGCTATGAGTATTTTTGCACCTATAACACACAGCCTAAGAGTTTGTCGAGGATATTTACGGGGTAGAATTGTTGGACTGTTGAGGAAAAACACATTCAAGTTTGGAAGACAATTACAAATTTCCTTCAATGGATACTAGTCTACACTTCCCCTAACAACCTGAGTTCTCACTGTTTCACATCTTTGTCAATGCTCAGAGTGCTACCAGAGTTCAAATTTAAGCGTTTCAGCTGGGAGGTGGAGTTGGGGGGGATGAGAGAGAATGATGGTAGGGATGAACCTAATCAAGATATACTGTAAGCATATATGATGGAAATGTTACAATGAAGCCCCTTGTACAACTAATATATGCTAATAAACATTTTTTTAAGCTTCAGCTCAACCCCAAGCCTTGCTGACTCTTCTCTAAAATATTTCCTGGACTTTGAACAGTAGAAAGTGTACTGGCTTTAGCAAGCCCTGGGTTCAGTGGCCAGCCCTGACACTTTGGAGCTATATGGCATGCAGTTACTTAGCCTCTTGGGTAACTCCATCTCCAAGACTGAAGTGAAGAGTGAAAGAGCAGTCTACACCAAGCACAAAGAGCAACACTGTGACATTTTAAGTTTCCCTGTAAAAGGAGGTGCCTTAGTCCCACCAATAACCATGGCATGCTCATCACAGTTCAAGTGGGCCTCTCTTCTTATCCTGCCTGCACACAGCAACCCCTCCCCCGCCCCAGGCCACCCCTCTGACCCATCCCACAGAGGGAGTTTGCTGCATGTCAATATCCCTCTAGGCCCCTTTTAGCACCTCAGTAACTAAATACCTCTGGATATAGTCCAAGGAGGGTATCATATATCAAATTCAGCTCTGGAAAAAAGCTCATTAGACTAGTCAGCAATGTTGGGAGGCCATAGAGCTTTCCTGGACAACTCTAATAGGATCATGTTTGGTTACTGCCTGTGGTGGGTTTGTTCTGGAGAGGCCCTCTGAACAGGGGAGCCCAGAGGAGCTCTAGCAAGGCAACCCAATGCCTTTCGTGTAATCAATTTCTGTTTGGTGATCCAGTCTGTAAATGTTTTCATTCTATTTATAGGACCTCTCAAATCTCATTTGATTTGTTCACCTATGTAACTAAAGCATTCATTTTAACACAGACTTAGTGAGTTGGTACATTCTGTAAGACAGTGTGGTGCTGTGGGTGACAGGACAGATGAATGATGGGTTCACCACATGGGGCAGCAGGCGTGTGTGTGTGTGTGTGTGTGTGTGTGTGTGTGTGTGTGTGTGTGTGTGTGTGTGTGTAAGCCTTCAGCCAGCTTCTGGGAAGTGTGCACCTAAAGCATTCTGGGGATGGGTCTGAGAAAGAGATGTTTCCTGGTGAGGGAGTTGACAAAGGGCAGAATGCAGTAAGCTGGGAAGAACTAGCCAGAGATGGATACAAATTGTCCTAAAGCCTTGATTTGTCCTAAAGCAACCAGTTATGTGATCCTGTAGCATTGGCTGATGACATTCTGAACTTGACACTAAAACCCCAACTTGAAAGTACTTTAATTCTCTTTAAGGGTTATATTAGTATGAAAGAAGTTTTTCCTCTTCTTTTCTCTTTTTGAAACAGGATCTCCCTATGTAGCCCAGGCTAGCCTTGAACTCATGATCCCTTGCCTGTCTCCTGAGTGCTGGGATTGTATTGGGTACATCATCATACCCAGCTTGAAAGAAGTATGGTTAACAAGTCCTAACCATAAAAAATCTTTTAAATTTTCTACATAACTGATGTTGCTATAGGCCTGAAATACTGAGAGCTGACAGAGCCCAAAGGAGGAGCATACAAGTCTAAGATGGGTAAGGAGAATAAGCCAAAGAAACCTTGGCCAAGATCTCAGTAGCCAAACACCAAAGGCATCAGAATAGGCATGATGGTGACAAGTGACAGAACTTGACACTGCTTTGGCCCTGGATGCAGCCTCCATACCTGTAACACTGACTGCAATATGCAGTGTGCCACTGCCACAGAGGCTTTCCTTACTCTGTTATTTTTCATTGTTGTTGACAAATAAAATACCTGACAGAAAAATAACTTAAGGGAGAAGAATTTATTTTGCTCACAGTTTCAGAGGTTTTGGTCCATCATGTAGGGAGGGCATGGCAAGCAGAGCAGTTCACCTTGTGGGAGAAAGGAAGCAGGGAGAATGCCTGTGCTAAGCAGGTTTTCTCCATTTTCCCCTTTTAATCTATCTGGACTCCCAGTCTATGGGATGGTGCTACCTAAATTCAGGATGGATCTTTGCCCCTTACTTAATCCTCTCTGGAAATGGCCTCATCAACACATACGGAGTGTGCTTTACTAATTTCCTAAGCACTGAAGTTGACAATCTGGATTGAAAACCCCTTGAGGACTAGACTTTTAGCAACACAATGACAGGTGAGAAGGCTGCAACACATAAATGATGTAACATAGAACAGGGATGTAACTCAGTGGTAGAGTGTGTACTTAGCAATACAGGTGGCCCTGAGCACAAAGAAGGAAGGGAAAGGAAAGGGGAGGGGCGGGGAGGAGAAGAAAGGGAGACTTGTGTGTACACACACACACACACACACACACACACACACACACACACACACACTGTGACACATAAGCTCCTCCTCCCTAAGCTTCTCCATGTCTGTTCAGGCCACACATCCAGGAATCTTTTCTGACAAATCTTCTCTCGCACACCACAACCAGCCATTAAATCTGTTAGTGATGCCTTTGAAGCATTCCCACCACCTGCCCCAACTTTCTGTTGTTACCTCATCCCCTTCCCTGGACCACCCCAGAGCCCCTCGCTATCCCCCTGAAGCTACCATACCTACCGACACCTCCCTCACCACACACACACAGTGCATTTCCAGGCAACATCCAGAGTGCCTGGGCAAAGCCCTTTTGTGAGTAGCCACAGCACTGGAGTTAAACAGCCCAAGCAGGGCCCACAAATCCTGTGGGATGGGGTCTCCCCCACTCCTCGCCCTATATTCCCTGGCCTTGCTGCTCTTATGAGGCCCCTCTGCCTGAGGCCTTCCCTCAAGGTCTTCTCATGGCTTATTCCCTCCTCAGTTCAGCAATCAGCTCAGGCCTCCTCTACCTCCTATAAAATATCTCTCCCTCTGAGAAAGGAGACATATTCATATGTTTCTGCATCCTGGATAAGTCCCTGGCACAGAGTACACTTTTAGTCAATGCTACTCCAAGATCTGACCATACAACACCCAGGAGAAGTTCACAGAAACTGCCTAGGTCTCCACACAATAGGTAAGAGGCCGCTGGGTACAGGACCCATGGAAAGTAATCAGCTTCACTCGACCATCCTTCTAAAAGGCACAGTGCAGGAAGACTGAGAGATGAGTCAGGACCAAAAGCCCAGCAGAAGGAAAGTCAGAAGTCAGTTCTACAGAACTACCATGACCAGGCTGCAAATTTCACTGAGGTTTCCAGGACCAATAGGGAGATTCTGGTTCTGGAAAGACCAGATTGTTGAAGGAATTAAGGTGTTCAGCAGAGAAAACAGAAAGCAAAGGGGAGGTATTAGCTGAATCTTAATAGCTGAAGGGCTGCCATGAAGACAAGAGAATAAACTTCTACTGTGTTGCTGAGAAGTGCAGGATACAGAACAGACTGGACAGGCCTACAGAGGCTGGCTGCACCTGCTGACCTTACCTGAGCCTTCCCTGATGGCCATCACGGATGGTATCATAAGCCCCTGGGGCCTTCCCAATCTCCTCACTCTCCACAGAGTCTGCCTCACACCCTGTGCTGTTCCTTGGTCTACTGCCACCCTGCCTGATCCTCTGCAGGCAACAGTGCCCCTTTACTGACAGGAAGAAGGGAGCGGGAGACACAAAGCACATGCTCCTCCTACTTCCACCAGGCAGTCAACAATCTGCCTGTGCCAATGCCCCTGCTCCCCATGCCCATCTTGGCTCCTTGTGCCCCAGGATCAGGGGCCAATTTCACTGTTCTACCCCCACCATGCTCCCTTTCCCCATCCATGTACACAAACTAGCTGTGAGTGCTGCAGCTCATTTTCCAGGCAGGGTGAAGACGGTGAATTGTGGGTCACACAGATGTACCACCTGTCTTTCTCCATATGGCTGATTGGCGGGAGATCGTGGGCCTAACCCTTCTGGCTGTCCTTCCTCCAGCAGGCTGGTCAAAGGAGGGATATCCTCTCAGCCTGGACCTTCCCCTTCTTGCTTACTCCCACTGAGCAGGCAGGCCCATGACTGCAGATCCCTGCCCCAGATGAGTCTATTTATACTCCTATAGCACCCTGGATGATGCTCCAGAGCAGTTACAACTGTCAGCAAGAGATCTGTCTGATTTTTGGCTTCAATTAAGGAGAGCTCACATTTGCCCTTCTACCAGGTCACCCTGAACCTGCAGCAGTAGCCCCAGCATCTAGGACACAGAGGCACTCAATAAACTCATGCTGAGTCCCCGGGGCCGTGGGGGGATTCGCACCAGGAGAGGACACACAGCATATTCCCAAGGTGGTATGGCTGCACCAGCAGGTCCCTGCAGCTCCTCAACCAGAGCACTCCATGAGGTGTCCTAGGCAAGCACAGGCCACCAGAAGGCCCAGATTGGAGTAGTTGTGGGCGCACATGTGGCAAGTGGGAAAGTCAGAACTTGAAGCTGCTTCTGAAAGAAGGCCCAACACTGAGAGCAAACTGAAGACTGATGTAGCTTACCTTTTCCTTGGCTGGGTTCCGATCTGCTTAACAGACTTTTCTTCAGTGTAAAAGAGCAGACTTCTTTGCAAGGTAGAGACAAGCAGCACTTTCTGGCTATAATCCAGTTGCACAATGGAAGATGGCTCTTCTAACACCAAGTGCGAGTTGCAGACCCCCTGCGAGAGGCCCAGTAAGCCTAAGGTCAATGTTGAGGCAAAAAATCACCTGACTTCCCTCACCACAAATAAGCATGCTTTTTACTAGTTGACCTAAAGGTCAAGCTACACCTTAAAAAGTATGCTTTAATTCTCTCCAGATTCAGTGTCAACCTACTGCAGTGAAACTTGGAAAAGACCCTACTAATAAGAAAATACATAAATATTAACATGCATCCCATGTTACAACACTTGAAAAGAAGCTTTTAAGCTAGGCACAGTAGTACATGCTTATAATCTCAGATACTCAGGAGAAGGATATAGTCCAAAGCCAGTCAGGAAAAAAATCACAAGACTTTATCTGAAAAACAAGCTAAAGTAAAAATGGTTTAGGGGCATAGCTCAGTTGGTGGAGTGCCAGTTAGCAATTGTGAAGACTTCAGTTCAAACCCAAAGAATGCCCACCGCAAAAAAAGAAAGAAAACATCTAAAACTCTGTGTAATTTCTCTTGAAACATTCTCAACAAATGGGTTCAAAGACGAATTCATAAAGATCTAAACAGAAATGCCTTAAGCCATGTGCATTATGTATTTTATTATAAAACACCATGGGATGGATTTTCTATACAGTTATGACGACTACGGTCAGCTCTCCTATTATACTCTCCCTCTACAGAGTTCAAAGCAGTCCTGGGGACGTTGCATCCTTTCCAAGTGAAACACTTACAGAAAGCAAGAGGTTAAAAAAAAATAAAATGGTATTAAGAATGTAAGAATAATATACAAAAGTATTTTATACACATACCCACCCAGTGAAATTCTAAAAGATATTTTACTGCTAACACAAACTATATTTCAGGAAGTCAAAAATCTGCTTCTAAGCTGGGATCACATGCCTGCAATTTCAGCACTAGGAAGAATGAGGCAGGAGGATCACAACGTTGAAGTTAGGTTGGACTACATGGGACAGTCTGTCTCAAAACAAAACAAAAAAATCCTGCTTCTGTAAGTCACTCTTCTCTTGAAGCAGTTTCATCAATTGTTTAAGAAACATTGCTGCAAAATTATAAACTCTTTGAGGGGTCAGAGGGAACAGTGGTCAGTTACTATTAAAATTTACACACAATAAAATTTACCATTTTAGGTTTTTGACATGAATTTTGACAAATTTGTAGTTGTGTAACTACTACTATCAAGATGGACAAATTTCCATTCCCCCCAAACATTTCAAGGAATCAGGAAGGATAGTAGCTTCTTTCCTAAGTAGTAGCCATGAGAACAGGAGAATGGAAAAGGTGAGTTCGCTCTGATTTGAACATTGCACAATGGATACATGTTGAAACATCACATGAGAACCCATAAATGAGCAATTTTTATGTGTTATTCAGTTAAAAATTAAAAAAAAATAAAGTGAATGTCCCAGCATGCCAACTCTGTAGTCACAGAAGATGGAGCTTATAAAACACTGGAAAGAAAAAATGCTCACCATCTCTAGCAATAAAGGAAATGCAAATTAAAACCACGCTAAGATTCCACCTCACCCCTGTTAGAATAGCCATCATCAGCAACACCACCAACAACAGGTGTTGGCGAGGATGAGGGGAAAAAGGAACCCTCTTACACTGTTGGTGGGAATGTAGACTAGTACAACCACTCTGGAAAAAAATTTGGAGGCTACTTAAAAAGCTGGACATCGATCTACCATTTGATCCAGCAATACCACTCTTGGGGATATACCCAAAAGACTGTTACTCCAGAGGCACCTGCACATCCATGTTTGTTGCGGCACTATTCACAATAGCCAAGTTATGGAAACAGCCAAGATGCCCCACCACTGATGAATGGATTAAGAAAATGTGGTATCTATACACAATGGAATTTTATGCAGCCATGAAGAAGAACGAAATGTTATCATTCGCTGGTAAATGGATGGAATTGGAGAACATCATTCTGAGTGAGGTTAGCCTGGCCCAAAAGACCAAAAATCGTATGTTCTCCCTCATATGTGGACATTAGATCAAGGGCAAACACAACAAGGGGATTGGACTATGAGCACATGATAAAAGCGAGAGCACACAAGGGAGGGGTGAGGATAGGTAAGACACCTAAAAAACTAGCTAGCATTTGTTGCCCTTAACGCAGAGAAACTAAAGCAGATACCTTAAAGCAACTGAGGCCAATAGGAAAAGGGGAACAGGTACTAGAGAAAAGGTTAGATCAAAAAGAATTAACCTAGAAGGTAACACCCACGCACAGGAAATCAATGTGAGTCAATGCCCTGTATAGCTAACCTTATCTCAACCAGCAAAAACCCTTGTTCCTTCCTATTATTGCTTATACTCTCTCTACAACAAAATTAGAAATAAGGGCAAAATAGTTTCTGCTGGGTATTGGTGGGGGGAGAGGGAGGGGGTGGGGGCAGAGGGGAGAAATGAACCAAGCCTTGTATGCACATATGAATAATAAAAGAAAAATGAAAAATAAAAATAAATAAAACACTGGAAAAACCAATGAAAGAACAAGTTACAAATAAGTGACATCAGAAAGGAATTATAATCAGGAATACAAGCAAACGAGCTGAAATACAATTATGAGTATAATTATTCTGAATATAAAAGGGCAAGAGCCAACAATATTTCTAAAATTCATGTCACCTGGTCTAGATCCAGAGAAGAATAGACAATTTTCCCTTTGTCATCTCCAGAGAACAGTTTCATTCCATTGGGGCTCCAAGCCAGAGCAGTAATGCTATGTTTGTGAATACCGGTAACATCAAATCTTCGAAGCTATTAGCAAACAATAAAAACACACACAAGGAAAATGATTAATGCTGTGACTTAGGGCTATGTGGCTATCACTCTTATTTATGCACAAAGGTTTCATCTTTTTTTCCACATTCAAACTCACATAGAAGCAGGTGTGGGTGGTTAGCATGCCTGCTAATCCCCAGCACACAGAAGGCAAGAAGACCATGAGTTTGAGACCACCTGGGCTACGCCAGCCAGATCCTGTGCTTTAAAAACAGACCTCACAGAAGAACACAGGAGAGGCATTAGGCCAAACTGAGGCCTTACATGTGCCTTATCCAAGTGTCAAGCAGGAAATGTGCTGGTTACCAACAGCACAGTATTACACTGAGCATACATCTGCTAGGCAGAGGAGGGTTTCTCACTTTTATCCATGAAGAATTTGCCAAGAAGTGAAGAAATGCTAACACAACAAGTTCTTACCTGCTTATTTCTCCCTGGTAATGAAGATACAAGTTGAAAAACTGCAACCCTCCCGGAGGCAGTGCCGGCTGCCACAAGGTCATCGAAGCAGCTCAGCAGCTTCACTGCAGTGATGGATTCCACCTCCCCCTAAAGACAGAAAGACTCCAACAAATAAGCCTGTAACCAGATAGGCATGCAGAACATGAAGCAAGGCAGACAGAACCAAAGGAGTGAAAGCTCCACTGGGCTGCAGGCCCCCACTCCCACCCCCGCTGTGTTCCTGATTAGAAACCTATCCAAGTCAGAAAGACAATCAAATCTCTTAAAAACCTCCTTTTCCTTACTAGGATCCTGCCTTTCCTTTCAATTATATTAAAATACACAGGATATAAAATTATATTAACCATTTTAAATGTACTTTTTCCCTGACTAGTTTACTTCATCTAACACCATGTCCTAAAGATTCATGATATATGGCATTTGTCGGCATTTCCTTCATTTTTTTAAAAGAATGAATAATACTTCCATTGTATGTATATACCACGTTCTGCTTATTTGTTCATCTTTTGCTTTTCTATTGTTTTTGTTTTTGAGAGGGTCTCGTTACATAGCCCAGGCTGGCCTCTTTTTCCTCCTGCCTCAGCCTCCCAAGTGCTGTGATTACTGGTGTGTACCACCATGCTCAGCTTTATCTATTCATCTTTGTTTGGAAGTTCTGAGGGTTGAACTCAGGACCTCATGCTTGTTAGGCAGGTGCTTTACTGCTTGAGCCACCGCCCCAGCCCTCTTTGAGTGGGTTTTTTTGTTTTGTTTTGTTTTTTTGAGATTATTTTTGAGTTAGGGTCTTACTTTATGCTTGAGCAGGCCTGGACCACAAGTCTATTTTTTGCCTTACTATGTAGCTGGGGATGAGCAGGCATGTGCCACAGGCCAGCCATTGGTTGACGATGGAGTTCTTGTGAACTTTTTTGTCCAGGCTAGCCTCCAGACAAGATCCTCCCCGTTCTTGACTTCTGAGTAGCCAGGATTAATAGGTGTGAGCCATCATGCTGGCCTCTATTCATCTTTAATGAAAGAACTTGATTGCTCCCATTTTAACTTGGGATTCCATTGAGATTCCACATGAAATTTTTACAATTGGGTTTTCCTACTTCTACAAACAAAGTGGAAATTTTTTATCAGTAAACTGGGGTTTGAACTCAGTCCTCATGCTTGCTAGGTCAGGTACTCTACCATTTCAGCC